GGAAATGGGCATAGGCCGGGCATGTAGCGCGTAGACAGGATAACCGCTGGTCATTAAGGGTAACAAACTGGATTCCCAGAGAAGGGAAGCGGGTATGGGGGAGACAGAAGGTTAGGTGGGCAGATGAGATTAAGAAGTTTGCGGGGATAAATTGGCAGTACCAAGCACATGACCGGGTTAACTGGCAGAACATGGGAGAGGCCTTTGTCCTGCAGTGGACGTAGTCAGGCTGATGATGATGATGATGGCTGATGGCACTGGCCCGGCAATCCGGACATGGGTGTGCTACGGGTCAATCCAGGGTCGGCCTTCGAGACCCAATGAAGTTCTTCCCGCCATACCATGTCGCTTACACTGCCAGAGGTCAAAATGGGGTCAATTGTGTGACGCCAACAGCAAGACTCGCAAGCGTAACGTGGCAATATAAGTTCTTAATGTAACGCGTGTATGTCGTGATACATTAGTTGAAAGTTTTCTGATGAAGTTCTTCGTTCATTTTGCTAAGCAAACAGAATGCGACAGCGATATCTGTGCACGTACACACACACATGCAGGCACACATGCACTCACATGCACAAACACACGCAGACTATCGCTTTCCTAATAGCTGGCGTGCCTTTGTCCTCGGGCTGGTATCCTTATTGCAAGCACCTCAGAACTTTTTTTTTTCTGTATGCCCCGCCGCGGTAGTCTAGTGGCTAAGGTACTCGGCTGCTGACCCGCAGGTCGCAGGTTCGAATCCCGGCTGCGGCGACTGCATTTCCAATGGAGGCGGAAATGTTGTAGGACCGAGTGCTCAGATTTGGGTGCACGTTAAAGAACCCCAGGTGGTCGAAATTTTCGGAGCCCTCCACTACGGCGTCTCTCATAATCATATGGTGGTTTTGGGACATTAAACCTTACAAATCAATCAATCAGATTTTCTGTCACGTACAATGCTGCTTTTTTGTTCCGAACCAAAGATGCCGATGACAACATCAGAATTTCAGCGAAAGATGCTTTTTAGTGCTGTCGTGCCAAAATGCGACCAGTCTCCAGGCCAACGCTTGCTGATATCAGAGCATTTATATGACGACAATAATATCAGCAAATAAGCGGCATATAAAACTAAGAAATAAATTTTGTTACAGCAGTCATAGCGTATCAATTTATTGACGTCCATGTACACGTGTATATCCAGCATAATAAACATCGAGGCTCCACAGCAATATTCTACATGTGGATCGGAGTCACTCTCTGTGAGCACCTTGGCCCACCCTCCGTGAGCTCCATCTGTCACAACAAGCGGAAATAGCCCAAGCAGTAAACACAATCTGGATGTGCCGCCGGGTACAGTGTCAACACCTAACTTCTTCTCACACCATGCCTCTAAGGCAGGAGACATAAACGAAACAACAAAAGCTACTGAATCATTGTGCCGTTACAAGTGGTTGTTAAAAATTTTATGATTTCATTGTCTCATAGTTACATATTTGTTGTCACAAATCAGAAATTTATCAATTCCTAATAACATGTCTTTTTTTTAGCACAATGTGAACTGTGAGGTACGAAATTGAGACAAACGAGAGCTTAATAATGACAGTAATGCGTGTACCATTTGGATAAATAAATGCCTGCTATAGTTTTAAACTCTGAGCTTAGCATTCTACACATATGTTGCATATAACGATTGCTCAAAATTGCACTTCCACACATGCAGTGTGCATCCAGTCTCCCAAAAATTATTAGCCTCATGGTTGTCTTTTAAAAAACTGCATTGCCTATATTGCTTCTGGTTGCTAGTGCTTTATTATCACAGACATGAAACTGTAAAACTTGCTGAATAAGTGGCTGCATGAGTTACACTGGAAATAACTTACTAAATAGGTATTGCTTTTTTTTCGCAGTTGAAACTAAATAGAGTTATATGTATTTGTATATAAAAAATAACCAATGGCGAGAGATACTACTGGGCAAATGTGCAAAAAACTGGAGATTGCAGTTTCTTTTCTTTCTTTTTTTTATCCAATCAGCATGTAAAAACTTTCATACAACTGGTGTGTTGAAAGTTTTCAAAATTTACCATCAAAAGAAAGGAATAATATGCCTTTCAGACCCAGAATAAAGTATGTCGCAACTTAGGCAAGTAGCCACATATGCACAGGAAAAATTGAGAAATGAATTGGAACTTCTAACTTGCACTAAGAATTCCCTCAAAAGGACTGCCCTTTTTTATTCTTCTATGGTCTTGCATTAAAGCAATGCCATACTTTCATTAACAAAGTCGTGTGAGTAGGTATAATAAGTGCAAAAGTTGTAGAAAGCGTTAATGATGTTCTGAAGGTTCCTAAATATTATAATATTGGCTAATTATGTAAGCTGCAATATCATTTAAGAGTTTTTCAGGCTGCAACCAAGGCGTGCACTAAAAAAAATAGGCCATGTTTGGATCGATCTATGGAGCAATTTTTCTAAAGCTACATCAACATTCATTTGAAACCAAGAAGTAACTGCTACCCCCCCCCCCCCCCCCCCCCCCACAACCCCTGACTTTCCATAACACACCATTCTACACTTGCTTGAAGTATTAAATAAAAAACAAGCAAATAACCAGAGACAAACTCTGTGGACTGTTTCTAGATGCACCGGGTCTACTGTTAAAAATATTAATGGAAAATAAAGCATGATTTGTATACTTGCCTCTCTTGTTTTCTAGCAATCTACAAGTCATCCCTTGTTTTGCATTTTGTATAAAAATAATTTGAAAAATATCAACATTTGTATGCAGCCATTGTTCAATGCAAGCGTCACGTAAATTAGGAGCTACAATATATTTCAGGGAAAAAATAAATAGCAAGATATTCAAGTAGGTGCCCAAAAGCTTTTTTATTATTTGCATACAACTTCCTTTTTCTTGACATAGCACCATGGCAGTTATTGCTATAAAGGCAATAAAGTATTAAATAAAAAACAAGCAAATAACCAGAAACAAACTCTGTGGACTGTTTCTAGATGCACCGGGTCTACTGATAAAAATATTAATGAAAAATAAAGCATGATTTGTATATTTGCCTCTCTTGTTTCCTAGCAATCTACAAGTCATCCCTTGTTTTGCATTTTGTATAAAAATTATTTGAAAAATATCAACATTTGTATGCAGCCATTGTTCAATGCAAGCGTCACGTAACTTAGGAGCTACAATATATTTCAGGGACAAAATAAATAGCAAGATATTCATGTAGGTGCCCAAAAGCTTTTTTATTATTTGCATACAACTTCCTTTTTCTTGACATAGCACCATGGCAGTTATTGCTATAAAGGCTAGCATATGTTAGCTACAAACACTAGTTAAGTTTTATAATACCTAGTCTTAATTATTAATTTGGCTGCCCCAATTTAATCAAGGCATGCAAAACCTAAAGTTTTTTTTAATTTAAAACTAACTCAAAAGTGGTAAAAGACTACTGCGATGTAACTAGACCTCACTCATTTTTCATAAATGCAGACTAAAGATAAACAGCCCATATGCATTAGGATAGCAACAACAGGTTACAAAAACATTCGTACAGCTCGCACATGTCCTTGAAAACCTTGAAAACCCTTGAATTTGAAAAGTAAATTTTTAAGGCTTTTGAAGGTCCTAGCTGGAATTGTACTTTTTCCTTGAAAATCCTCGAGTTTTGAGATCGGTGCAAAGTCCACAGTGCAACCTGCTTTCTGTGATAGATTAGCGTCCATGTGGCTAACCATTCATTTCAGAAACAATACACTGTGCAAGTTTGCATGTACTGCATTTGTTCATGCCTTGTTCTATTGTTCATTTCATTCCTCACCAATCACATGATCTTGTCTCACTTTCTCTCTCTACTGATCTCCTTAGAACTTCACTTTTGTCTCCTATGCTACTTTTTTCCCAGTCAATGTTAAGCCTTGCTAGTACTCAAGAAGTCTCAGCACCTGTTTTGAACATTAGTTGTGCATTAGGAACTACTTTAGATGGCATCAAGGCTAGACTTTTACACAGAATAATAGTACAGCAAGAACTCAGATCAAACAATGTCATATTTGACATAGTTCTCAATCTAAGGAAGAAATTTGTATAGCCCAGCAGCTACTCATAAGGTTCATTGTTGTCAACCTGAACCAACTAAACTAACATGGAGCTGAAACCGATTTAACAAAGTTTTTTGTAAAATAAATCACTAGAGGAAAAAGGGGATATTTTTTATTTTATTTTTTACATAAATAGATTGTTTTAAAAGCTAGGGCGTTAACACTATTGCACTAAAACATCTGTCACCCATAGTCATGAGCCTGGTTTTATTTTGACAAGGCCACACACCACCCACATTCACTGAACAACAAACTCAAAAGTTACACTGTTAAGTATTAGACGGTACTACAGGTGGCAGTGGTTTATTGTTTCTGTCAATGCTCCCATAGAACCACAACTTTGTGTTTTTCTTATTTCGTGATTTATGCGACAGATGACAATGCTCCTGTAATTGCAACTTTCTCGCTCGTCCTGCTTGTATTATAACTGCATTGGTTTCTTAATCTTTGCATTTCTGCTGTATGTCATACTTCACATGAGTGCCTATGTGGCCTGCTTCACCTCCACCACATATGTGAGGCTCAATGTCCAATGTCCAGTAAACCTGAACAGACTTCTAAAGTGAGCACACGTGGGTTAGTGGCAAAAATAGTGTCGTGGTAGATTTTGGATTTCTCTCTGTAACAATTTTAGGTTTCAAAGGACTGAAAGTCCCTTTCTCAGTTTCACTAACTTCCCAAGTGAATAAAGTACTTGAGCATGGTGATTACTTAATTAATTTGAGTTTCAAATTAATAAGTGTGATCAATTTAGTCGAAATTTGAAGCATTCTTATAGTAAAAAAATCCTCACTTGGATGCCATTTTTTAGTTCTTGAAAAACTAGACATTCTTTTGAACTTATTTGAACATTCTTAAATTTTCTCCTCTGAAGGCTGTATGAACACTGATTAGGCAAATATGCTTACCTCATCTGCAACAAAAAGGCCACCTTTATTCTTGATCAAATCGTAGGCTTTTTTAAGATAGCCTCTTGGGTATTGCACAGAGCCTCCAACACCCTGTTGAAAAAAAGAACAACAAAAAAGGTGTGAAAACTGAGTTATATCACTGTATGTTCTGTTAATAAATGAGGTAGGTATGTCATGAATCAGAGGTTCTATATAACTATGATTCAATGATGTCGCATTCTACCGGAGGGGTACATCGATGTTTCTCAAGTGGGTGCCACACTGAGATAAGTGCAGCATAGTGCAGTTTTGAAGTGGTTACAGTGGTGAAACGCTGGTGCAAAAAGAATTCTACACCGAAAGATTGTGCCTATACTGCCTCACTGCCAAAATGTGCAAGCTAAGTGACAATGATGGCAGTGAGAAAAAACTTTAAAAAAGATAACATAACAAAGTCAATGAAGTGTACAAATCTACCCATGCTGCTGTACACAAATACCTCAATGTAACATGAGGAGCCCCTAATTTCTATTTTTCATGGCAGAAATATTCAAACGACACCAACTGTCTGTTTAGAGGCTCAAAAAAAAAAAAAAACATCCAAGCTAAGTTTGAAATCTTTGCTGTTAAATTAGTATGTTTGTAAAGAAATAACTATATTAAGGGAGAACCAAGCAGGATTTTATACAGACTTCTCAACAACAGACCATATTCAGCTATTAATCACACGAGAAAAAAATGCCTGAAATGTAATCACCCCTTATATATACCCTTCATAGTTAACGAGCAAGCATTTGATGCGCACGAAATCTTGGCAGTTGTTCGGACACTATAAAATCAGGGCATCTACCAACCATACATAAAAATTCTGGAAGAAATCTACAGCTGCTCTGCAATCACTACAATTTGCCATAAAGAAAGTGACGAAATTCCTATAAAGAAGGGTGAAATAAGAGGTACTTTAAAGGCTTTTTTTTTCCTTGTTAGGCACCGAATTATTTAAAACTAACAGAAAAGAAAGCCAAGGAAAGTATAAGGCATGTTACTTTTAGTATTTATTATGTAAATGTAAAGAAAGTAAAGAGGACAAAAAAAATAACTTGCCGCTAGCAGAGACCGTACCTGTGACTTTCAAATAACACATACAATGCTCTGCTAAGAGAGCTACAGCAGCAGTCGTACCCCTATCCACTTTATGAGATGCAAACTAGTAATTATCAGCCTGAATATGTCCACTGTAGGGCAAAGGCCTCTCCCAATTGACCCAGTCTTGTGCTTTCTACTTCCACGTTATACCTGCAAAGTTTCAATCTCACCCACCCACCTAACTTTCTGTTTCCCCCTCGTGTGTTTACCTTCTCAGGGAAATCTAGTCAGTTACGCTTAATGTCCTGCCTACACCCTATGGGCCCGGCCCATCTTCATTTTTTCTTCTTGATTTCAACTATGATGTCCTTAACACCCGTTTGTTCCCTGATACACTCCTTTGTTTCTTAAGGTTACACCTATCATTATACTTTCCATCACTTGCTATGTTGTACTCAATTTAAGCTTAACCCTCTCCAGGTTTCTGCCTCTTAGATAAGTACCGGCAAGATGCAGCTGTTAATTACCTTCCTCTTGAGGGTTAGTGGCAGATTATCATTTGTGATTTGAGAATACTTGCCGAACGTGATCCACCCCATTCTTATTCTTCTAGTTATTTCACTCTCATAGTTGATTGATATGTGGGATTTAACGTCCCAAAACCACTATATGATTATGAGAGACGCCGTAGTGGAGGGCTCTGGAAATTTAGACCACCTGGGGTTCTTTAACGTGCACCCAAATCTGAGCACACGGACCTACAACATTTCCGCCTCCATCGGAAATGCAGCCGCCGCAGCCGGGATTCGAACCCGCGCCCTGCGGGTCAGCAGCGGAGTACTTTAGCCACTAGACCACCGCGGCGGGGCCACTCTCATAGTTCAGCACTGGGGTTACTACCTGTCCTAAGTACAGGAGACTCTCATAAAATGGAACTTGAAGGAACCAGTAAAATGTGTTCAGTGTAACAGGAGTTCTGTTTACTGAGAGATGAACAGGGGCATACAATGCAGGAACGAAACCAATCTTGTCAGAAGCATTTGTTTTATTTAAGCAGCAGTTCAGTTAAACAGATTTCTGTTAACTGAGAGTCTACTCTAGACATATTTCTTTACAACTTCCAATGTCACTCCACTTATCGCAAAGCGCTGTGTTCTGCCGAGACTGTTGCACATTACTTTAGTTTTGTGCATATTAATTTTTGGACCTACTTTTCTGCTTTCCATGTCCAGTTCTGTAATAATGAGCTGTAATTTGTCTCCTGAGTTATTCATCAAAGCAATGGCATCAGCGAATCGCAGGTTATCAAGATACTCTCCATTACCTCATACCCCTAACTCTTACCAATCTAGGGCCTTAAAAACCTCCTGTAAACATGCAATGAATAACATTGGAGAAATCATGTCTCCCTGTCGCTTTCTTTATGGAGGACTATGGTGGCTGTGGCTCCGTTGTAGATTTTTTCCAGTATGTTTTTTATCGGACTCTAATAGCCGTAATTTTAAGATAGGGAACATTCGTGCCCCGCGAGGCCGGGCACTTCCTACACACCGGATGTATAAATAAATGTTATTTCTCACTCTCTCTCCAGTATGTTTAAGTAGGGTTTGTTGATGCCCTGATTCCGTAGTGCCTGCATCACTGCTGATGTCTCGACTGAGTCAAACGCTTTTCTACAATCAATGAAAGCTATGCATAGGAGTTGCTTGTATTCCGCTCCATCACCTGATTGATAGTATGAATACGGTCTATTGTGGAGTAGCCTGTACGAAATTCTGCTCGGTCTTTTGGTTCACTGAATTCCAATGTTGCCCTAATTCTGTTTGCTATATTTGTAAATAGCTTGTAGAGAACGGACAGTAAGCCGATCGGCCTGTAATTGTTAAGTCCTTGGAGTCTCTTTTTTCATGGAATAAGACGATGTTGGCATTCTTCCAAGATTCTGATACCCTTCCCGTCAAGAGATGCTTCGTATATGAGGTAGCCAGTTTTTCTACTAGTGTGTGCATTTAAACCTGGAAGTGTCAGTCAATGCCGCTAGTAGCCATGAAGACGAGTGTGGAACACTTCTTCTGCCTGCTGGTGTCACGAAGCATGTGATCTTTTTATGAGCTGGCAGCTGATCGATAATCCTACGCACATTATCTAGAGGCATTCAGCCTGGCAGAATGAGACCCTCTCTTGTTCTGGCAGAGAGGGTCTCGGCAGACCCTAAGCCATTGACATACAGCCCAATGTACATCCATTACAAGGGTAATCCCACTCTGGGAATTTACCCAGGCTTGTTGGGAACTATTGCATTGGCAGATTTGAAGCCACAGAATCGGCACAGTGGGTGGTTCCTGCTGGATTGAATTTTTGATAGTGCAAGTTTGAGTTGGCCTTCTTGGACTTGTCTGCTAGCAGCTGAGTCCAAGGGAGCTTGGCAGGGCCCATTTTCACAAGTTTAAAGACGTTTTTTTTTTTTTTTACAATTACAACTTCTGCATGTAAGCGACAATTGTTCAATCACTGATAAATGTTATAAATGATTGGATAGTCATTTCATGAATGGCTAATGCTGTCTATTCGAAAGTAGAGCAGTAGTGAGGTTAGTAAAGTAAGAATAGTATGTATGCATCATTTATACTAACATTCTTACTAAGTGAAATGCAGTCATAGTCCCCACCTTCAGTTATTATTTGATGAAGACAGGAACTGATTGATGCGATGCAGCTGCACAATAGTAAAAACTGAGTATGAGTGAAGTTTTCAGGGAAGTCCCCTTCATCTGGTTATAAATATAACGTCATTAGTTATGTCATTGCCCTGCGTGCACATTGGTAATTTAGTGATTAATTCAACAAAAATTACCAATTACCTCTAGCTATTCCAAACTTTCATTGTTTTGGGGCACTCCAGTCAGCACTCATTATTTAAAAACTATTAGAAAAAAAATTCAACATTTCGAATATTGCCGCAAGTTGTTCGACATGCGATGAAGTCTTACGCCGCTTCCTGCTCTTATGCATTCCGCCACACCAGCTGACAAGCAAAATGTGGCATGCAACACTGCAAGGACGGCGCGTGTCACCGCACCAACACGCGCTGAAAAAAAAGAAGACTGGCGGCTCTTTGAAAGAGCGACACGCGCAAAAACGCAAGACCAAGTCGACGAAGTCAGACCAGAGAGCTCAGGACACCCTCTGTATATTGAGCTGATGGGCACAAGTCCGCCCTAAATAAATAGTTGTTTTAGTTACCGGCACTGTATATTTGTTCTAGCTAGGAGCTAGAGGGTGTCAAATGGGATATAATAGGGCTCAGTGAGATTAGTAGAACAGATGAGGCCTATATGGTGCTACAGAATGGGCACGTCCTTTGCTATCAGGGCTTGGCTGACAAAAGAGAAATGGGAATGGAGTTCCTAATTCACAGAAACATAGCTGGCAACATAGAGGAATACTATAGCATTAATCAAAGGGGGGTAGGTATTGCAATTCAACTCAATAAGAGATACAAAATGAAGGTGACACAGGCTTACGCACCTACATCCAGCCATGATGACGCTTCATTTGAAAGCTTCTATGAAGACGTAGAATCGGCAATGAGTAAGATAAAAACACAGTATACTATACTGATGGGAGACTTTAATGCAAAGGTAGGTGTGGTAAGAGTGCTTCTCACAACCAAAATCAAAACTGGAAGTGAAACCGACAGCGGAAAATAACCGACGAAGACGAAAGTGTGCACGGGGTCAGACGAACGTGAGCGCGTGAGTTTCGGAACAGCGACGGGCAGAGGAAGAATGCGGCCAGCTAGCAAGAGCGCTAGGCGTTGGGCCTCAGGGGACCGAACCAACGAGCGGGTGTCACCAACCCAACCGGGACGAGCGTGGCATGTTCCTGAGGCGAGTGGCGGTTCCGGGCCGGGCCTGACATGCTGTTCCTGTGGCGGACGAGCGTGCGGGCCAGGGCAAGCGGCTGATCCTGTCCAGACTCGGGTCCGGCACAACCAGTCACCGAGATCGTGGCCACGGTGCCACG